GGGATTCGGGGGGGGCTCGCTGTGTTGTCTCCAAAGTAATTTACCGTCATCTTACACCTATAAAGGGTACGTGTCAGACTTCCAAGTACTGGATACCTCTTCCCAGTACGGTTAGCCCCTATCTTTCCCAGGTACTGATTACCACCCCTTTGTTTACCATACGTGGCGCATTAAGTTTTACAGAGCTGACTTTCCCTCTCTCTCTCTCTTCTCTCTCAACCTTGTATTCTTCAAACGACTGTCCAAGATTTCTCTGATCGTCCATTTTGGAATTACCGTTATTGTCCGACTGTATTTACGCTTGTGTTTCCCCCGATCACTTTCAACTTCCCCCCCCAATCTCCCCCTTTTTCCATCCAATGATAGTCTCCCACGGACACTCGGAATCCAAGGGAGTCTCGACGGCCCCTGAAACTTGCCCCACCGTAACCAGCCAGCATGTAATCAGGTAACAAATAATGTGGCCGGGGGCTATTTTCAGAGATACCGGGCTTTGGAACTGGGTGCGGCAGTGATGGCTGTTGATTCGACAGTCTTGTTATGGCGACCAACTTGGTATGTAGGGATGGCGTTGCACCACTGATTTTCATTCCTCGTTGCTCCGTACTGTGTACGGAGTACGGATATACATTTCTAGACATGGCCCTCACACTTCCTACAATGTGTGATGGTACGTACACCCCAGCGATTATCTATCTGCTTATGTGGCGAGTCAGTGTCTCTAAGTTGGAATATGTGACCTGTATCGACTCATGAGAAACCATATTATAATTTGAAACCTAATGATAGTTTACATTCCCTCTATGTTGTAGATATTCTTAACTATGATTCGATGCTCGAATAAAATTAATATTTGAGCTCAGATCTGTGGACGCTTGGTCCAGTTCCTGTACCATGGCTCTCAAGCGACCAAGAACCACTTGGGCATCCGTGGACGTCTCTGCTTTTCCACACTTGACCATGTTCTTGATGGATTTTATATATTATTGCGCTTCAATCTCCACGATCTTCAATCCTTATTGCTCCTTTCATCATAGTCTTGAATCGATCGCAAACATTTTTACTCTGTTTTAGTGTTTTAGCGGCTGATTTGCCACCGCAATACAAGTGTCTCAAATCTAGTCGATCAGTTCCATATGTATTACATTGGGCTTTCCACTCCTCTTCTCACTGTGGCTGGCAAGCCCTCCATACATGTACGGAGTACACCGTACACCGAAGTGGATGCTATCGCACAGTGGGCACCCACGAGAAAACCTGGAAGTACAGTCCTGTTTACGGAGTCGACTTGTTGGGTCTTCCACAGCCACAGGCGGGAACTCGCTAGTCACGGATGTAAATAACGTTTGAAAACCCAATCGTCAGCTGTCTAAATTTATCTCTTTAGTACTCCGTATCTCTCCTATATCAAGTTAAGATGGTTTATCCAAACCTCAACCTCGCACAATTATATATTCTTATAGGCATCATTAACTACACCATATCAACTCTGATCATTAAATATTCCAGACAACCTGACCTGTGTACAGGTGTATCTGAATACACCAGCTGATACTGTATATGTATGTATACAGAGCTAGTAACTTTGTATTCGAAAAAAAAATCTCCACCCGTTAGACGCAGGATTTCAAGTGGATCACCGATTGCGTTTTTCTTAATTCTTCTGGAGCCTCGACCAAGAGGCCTGCTTACAATATTGTACGCAGTACTCCATAGGCCACTGCAGCACAATCAAAAATGGTGCTTATCGGGTATGCTGTGGCATCTTGTAGCGGCTACAACACCCAGCAGTATACTTGCCTCTCGGACTGCAGCATTATTAGTTTGCAATAGAGTACGGATACTTGTACCTTGTATACCATCATACCGGCGGATGCAGGATTGCGCAGGAACGATACATCAGCTGCATGGAGGAAACCGATCTTCGACATCTGATCTTCGTTTTCTGTAAATTTCCACTGTCTATCCGCCTTTCTAGGGCCTTTACTATACAACATAGGCACTATTATCAGTCACAGGCTGGCATCCCAAGAGGTGGGTAGCCACCATTCAATTACTACAAATTGCAATACGCCAAAAATAACCTGTCGACGGAGAAGATTGGTCTTAAAGGGACTAGTCAGCGATCACTAGCCGGCAGGCGTGTCCTAGTGTTGCACATTTATTGTACTCCGTACTGAGCTCGGCATTGCTGTGTATTGATCCGCCACCTTTAATACTTCGTACGCTACTCCATACACTAGCACAACAGCCGTGAAATGTGGCTGAATATTAGACAAATGGTCATAACTATTTATGAAGACAGCATTCGGGAGTCCCCCTACTATGTATTTTAAATTGCTTACTTGCATATAGGGGAGGCGGTGGCGTCGACGGCTGGGATTGGTGTTTCTAGAACCCCATACAAGCTCTTCTATGATTATTTTTGGCTCTAGCCCCTGAATAGGGCGTTTTACATTCAATGTCAGCACCGGCTCCCCGCGGAAGGATTTCAATCTAGAGCTCGCCATTTATTATGGCGCCTAATAATAGGAGACCTTGAGCTCTAATTCAAATTACAGATTAAGTACGGAGTACATAATCAGGGGGCTGTGACCCCCAGGGCCGCCCCTCCACCGTCTATCAGCATTATGGTCGGGAGCCAATCACAACCCCTGTTGTTGAGGTCGTAGTTGTGTCAATATACAAGACACTGAAAGGGCCCGAGTGGTGATATGCCGGTATTATTATAAGAATTTATATTTGAAAAGGCTTGCCGCACCACCTGATCGTACATAGTATATGTACGTATTATCGTTGGGGTTCAAACAAGCAACCGGATTTCCCGCCATTTCACATATACCACACGCATTTTCCCTCCCTGGCAGAGATTGCATATGTAGTACGAATATATCTTTATGGCATGGTTCGTGAAAATCTGCTTCTCCTCGATTGTGTATGTACCACTAATCGCCGTCCCACTCACAACATATATATCAACCGACCTACGGGCGGCACTTATACGGAGTACTACAATGTAAATAACATCATTATATGCTGTATCCCTGATAGTAAGACATGTTCAATAAGCGCTAATTATTGCCTAAATACGTCTTACCTTATCTCAATGTGCTACCTAGTAGTATTCCGTATAATGTATATCCCCCTCCTTTAGTTACCCTTTGCATGGGAAGCTCTCTCTATATCAACTGTCTTTTTCGTTTATCTATATTAGAGTCACATCATTTGCACCAGGCTTCTGTTGAAGCTATTTTGCACCAAAATAATCATCGAGCTGGGAATCTTAACTAGTGATGTCAAGCCGATCTACAAATGCAGGGACGAATGACATAACCTCTCGCGCAATCGCAGATTCTATCCGGCTCTCTGGTCTGTATACCCAGATCAGATTCCAGACTTGCACGACGAGTAAAACAGGCAATCTCCATTATTATTTGCTGGGAAGCAAGGGACACGGATCTTCATCGGCATAGCGGTGGAATGGCCCTGATCAACCCTCTATCATGTATCGATCCGAGCTCCAGGGGTCCAACCTCCACTACAGCCACGCGGTACAATGTAGCTTCTCCATCTGGGATCAGCGTACTTCGGAAGTTCATCCATTCCGAGTGAGGCTGTGCGGCTCCCTCGCCAGGAACATCACCTGCAGCAAGGAGTTCCGGGAACGGCGTTTGAGCACCACACGTCTATGCGCTATCCTCACATTGGACAGCTCTGGCCTTTGTGTGTTCTTTGTGCTGGTTATGATAGGACATCATAGAGCTGCAGTTGGCTTAGTGTCTTTTTTCCCTTTTCTCCAAATATACCGTCTAGACCAAAAGGTGTTATTTACGATTTATGACTTTCCTAGTATCATTGTTAGTGCTCATTTTTGGCTCAAAGTCTTGATTTTCACCTACCTGGTATCTTTATTGGGACTTTATTGGGACTTTATATGTACAAAAAGGTAGTTGATGCTTATTCGTCTATGTATGGTGTTGGATATCACCTACAGTATAGATATATTCTATTAAATGTTCCAGATCAGACCCCTCGGCCTTGCTATTATTAGCCTTAGCATTGGCAGATCTTATTAGGCTTTAAATATGGGTGGGCAGAATACATATTTTTATATACTACCTTGATTCTATAACTACGAAAGTGCAGCTTCATCCATTGCACGTTTAAGTTATAGCTGCTGTTCCTAGCCTCATAATACAAGCATATGTAGGAGTCTTCATACTTTAATAGACCAAAGTTTGTCTTATTTTATTAATTGTTAGATATTTTTGTCGTCGATGTATATATATATGCCGCTGCAGTTGCACCTGACATATAACCACAACAACAATGGTATTTTTTTCTTTATTATTTACATGGCAATAAACCCTTTGACTTGGAAAACAGCAGCACACCTAAACAAATGAAGGTTATCATAAGCATAATACCAAGTTGAAAACAACCTATTGAGGATATCGGAGCCCTGGGGTATTGTTGATGACGTGACAAATACGACAGGACAACCAATGCACCAATTTCCGTAGGGTAGACCTACAACACTCCCAGTAAATCAGCAAATGTTCCTGACCTGATCACCTGGGCAGCCCTGGAGACCTGTCGGCTTGCAGCTTAACCTGGCGCCCCCTCCCAACATCGGGAGGTCCACGGGCAGGGCTGCCATGATGATATCTATTTTGTCACATTCAGTGCTGGCTTACGCTACAAAAGACAATGTTTTACAACAACAGTCTAGGTTACAGACCTACAGGCCTAGATATTGAACTGTGATTGAGGTGGCACATATAGTTGTGGGTTGCTCACGTTGCCGTGCCAACGCATCCGTTGACAGCTCAACAGCCAGAGCAACATGGGGCCAACCTTCAAAGAACAACGAAAATCCCGGGGCCTCCAGCACCGACCTGGTCAGCGCAAAAACAGTGCTTTATTTAATATAGGGGGAGTTTTAGCCATCACCACCAGCGCCCATAGGGTATCATTGCCGTTAGAACAACACCGCGACAATGGCAAAGCTCAACACAGCCAACCCGCTTGTCAAAAACACACCTCACGAAGAGGCTGCCGCACGCACCCTAGGGGCTTCCCACAACAGCCCACTGTCTAGAGAGTCATGTTTCAATTTTAGAAACACGGCAAAGCGAAATATGCCCACCAAGCCGCAAAACCAGCGACAGCAAGCAAATGGCCCAAGCGGATCATTTGATATATTCCCCGACAGCGATTCGGGATCGGAAAGTGAATCTGGACAGCACAGGTCCACAGGAAAACAACAAAGGCAAAGGACACTAGGACTCGCACGTGCGAACTCGTTACTCCTACCAACAAAGCGGAGACCACGCCCAGCCATCCGGAGGGAGACTGAAGATTATGACAAGGAGAACGATGTGCCAGGATATGCCACGGACGGATATAGAACTCCAGATCTAACACCGACAAGGCCGAATGTCTCACAGATCCCCACAAGAAGTAGGATGGATTATGTCGCCCCGGCACAGCCAGTGATTGACCGGCAAGAAGAACAAGAGGAGCAGGAAATTAGCTTTGAAGAAGAAGATAGCTCCGACTCACTAGACGAGTTCATTGTCAGTGACAATGACGAGCCTAGTTTCTATGAGACATCGGATTCTGAGACAGCCGATACAGTAGACGAACCTAGACCGGCTCCGTCGCCTGTCAGGTCGCCAAGGAAAAGACTCATACGTGGAAGAAGGCCAGAAGCAGAATCAAACACTACTGCAGATGGGGAGCCAGCAATGGAGGCAACGAAGTTCGCGACAGAGCTGGACCGATCAATTGAGAAACCAAAGGCAGTCGCCCCAGCACCTGAAGACTGTGCACCAAATATTGCAACCAGTTCCAAATCTAGATCCCTCATCCGCAGGGCAGAAGTACCCAAGTCACAACCTCTTCATTTCGGCCTGCGCAACTCCGACGACCTCATCCAACACCTTGAGGATCTTGACCTGGGTAGCGACAACAAGCCTACATCGCAAACACAGCCAGAACAGCCCAAGTAAGTTTTTTTTAAGTGGGCATTCATGTGTACTCACAGGCTCGTAGCAGCAATCATACTAACTACTTCTCACAGCCCAGAATCAGAAGATGAACTACCATCAAAACCCTCCCCAAGCCACACAAACTTACCACCAGTGACACCGTCGCGCGCGAAGCCTCACTTTTCTCTCAATCGCTCTATCACATCCGTTGATAACTCACCAGCCATGGGTGTTCCCACCACTATAAAGGCCCAGAAAAAGGCCGAAGCAGCGCGGAAACGCGAAATTCGAGCGCAACTGGCCGAATTCAACCAAAAGAAGACCGGCTTTGCCGAAGAGTTCCTCCGATACCTTGACAATGCCTTCGATGACCGGATTAGTCGCATGACCGAGGAAACTGGCGGCATCAAAATCGTCTGGAAAAAGAACTTTAGAAACACCGCCGGCCGGGCAACCGTACGTTCAGAGCGGTTCCTGAAAGGAGCAGTTGAAGAACCCGGGAAACGGCGCTACTATGCCACCATTGAGCTCTCCGAGAAAGTCCTGGACACCGAAGACAAGATCCTCTGTACTATGACACACGAATACTGCCACCTCCTCGACATCATGGTCACTGAAAACCGGGCCAAGGGGGGTACGGCGCAGCACGGTGCCAGCTTCAAGCAATGGGGCGCCCAATGCGTTCGCGCACTGGAAGGTCACCCTATCTACGGGGGTCGGGTCGAGGTCACGACTAAGCATACCTATGAGATCAACCACAAATACATCTGGGCCTGCAAGGTGCAGGGTTGTGAGTTCAAGGTCGGGCGACACTCAAAGAGTGTTGATCCAAATCGTCATTTCTGCGGCCGTTGTAGGGGCAACCTCGAGCAGATCAAGCCGGTGCCGAGGGCTGTGGCGTCGAGGAGGCCTGTTGTTAAGGCTATGGTCGAGGAGAAGGAGAATGTGGTCATTGATCCTTGATATTCAATGGACTAGTTATGCGTGTAAATATTTGAGTATGACCAGTGGGATTATCAATGGGCCCATATAATGAACACATGAATGTCTACCTATGTCAATTGACTTTTCTGGGATAGTATATTCAAGTAGCCCGAGACGTGGCAATATAACCACTAGCATGAAGAAACCAACAAGACTGAAACAACTTGGAACTGTTGATCCCGCTAGTCTATAATGATTCCAAACCAATAGCGATATTTATTAATCCGTCCTTATTCAAGCACGCTAGTTAGAAACAGGTCGAACATCGACTAGGGAAAAGTATAAATTCTTCACGGTCGTTACTGCATTTGGTTTAACCTCCACCGGTGCCATGAAGCTTACATTGCCGACCAATCAGATCGAGCGAGGTTTGTCCTCTTTGAGTTTAGTCTCCGCAAAGCTTCCATGTAGATATCAAGATGTTGGATGCAATGGCGAGTCACAGGCTATAAATGGGATTGTTTCTTCCTGGAGTATTCTTACACTTCACACCAGTCCTCATAATGGCTTTTGGATACAAGAAAGTCCTGATCATCGGTGCTACCTCCGGGATTGGCAGAACACTAGCCGACAAAGTCGTCCAAAATGGATCGAACCTAATTGTCACCGGTCGCAGAAAGGAAAAACTCGATGAGATCGTCCAGAAATATGGCAGCGACAAGGTCTCTGCAAAGACATTTGATGTCATGCAGCTCGATCAGGTAAGGTCACCCATGCCAAGCGAGGTATGTCCCCAACTAACGTGTCCGATGACAACAAAGATTCCACAATTTGCCTCAGATATCGTCTCCGAGAACCCCGATCTGGACTGCGTCTTTGTCAACTCGGGTATCCAACGACCCTTCGATTTCTCCAAGCCGGAAACCGTCGATCTGGCCATCTTCGACCAAGAACTGATCACGAACTATACATCCGCGGTCCGCATAGCCAAAGCATTCCTCCCACACTTGCAGAGCCAGAAGACTGCAACAGCCATCGCATTCACGACGTCGCAAATGGCGCTTGTGCCCATGGTGCGATGCCCGAATTATGGCGCTTCCAAGGCTGCTCTGCACCATTTCATCCTTGCCCTCCGCACTCAGCTGCAGGGTGGTCCTGGGGATGTGAAGGTCTTGGAGGTTTATCCTCCTGCTGTGCAGTCTGAGCTCCATGATGCTAAGCATCAGCCTGATTTGAAGGATGGTCATTTGATTGGGATGCCGTTGCAGGAATTTGTTGATGAGGTCTGGGGCCGGATTTCAGAGGGCGAGGATCAAATTGCTGTCGGGTCTGCGATGGATATTTACAATGCGTTCGAGATTAAGAGGCAGGAGTTGTATCGGGATATGACAGAGTTGCTTTCTGGGTTGCTGAAGCAGTTTCTGAGGTAGGGTCTGATCTTTCAGATATTAGATGCATATAAATGTTAGATTTTGTGGATATGGGACTCAAATTATGTTATCTTCATTCTCACCTGTCGATATAAGAGTGCACAGGAGGAAACGGAATCGAGGAAACAGCTTGCCCTTTACAAGCCGCCAGTATAAATCCACTGAAATAAGAAACGTCATGGACACGCCCAGCAGCCAATCCATCCGACCACTCGTGCAATGAAACCATAGAATCACCAGAGTTGGTGAGTGCATCTTGCCATTCTATCTCGGAGTCCTCATCCCATAGATTGGTCCGTAAATCAAACGGCAAAGAGTCTATAAACGGTGTCCGCACTGAATAGTTCCTCGTATTCAACGAGTAAGCACTGCGCAACATGAAGCAGACAATAATAGTCCGCCGGACACTCTCAGCAAGAAGCCACGCATATCGGGGACTGAAGGCTCCCGGAAGTTGAATAGGCGCTTGTTGCCACAGCTTCAGAGCGACTCTCGCCAGCATAGCACTGATCGCCTCTGAATATGGACATGTATTGCCGTCTTCGTTGAGAACCAACATACATTGATTCAACACTAAAGCTTGACTGCATCCCAGTAGCTCTACGAATGTCGCAGCGTGACTTAGTCGGCGACAGAGGTCTGCTGAGTTTTGCCGGAGCATTGATAAGAGAGTAACGCTCACGCGACCGGTTTGGTGGGTTTGCATATGAAGTCTGCAAATATTGTGGATCTCACGAATAGGGGTTAGGCCATTCGTATAAAGGTCAGGATGAATGAAAAGAGTCTTCCTGTTCTCTGCAAATTTGACCGGTAAATCCCGCAAGCCGGCAACGAGAAACCGGATGATATTCGGATCATATTCTTTCGCGATTTCCAGCCGTAGGGGTGCATGTATGTGTGGCGTTGGAGTCATGTTGACAATTGAGTGCTTAGGACCCACATACCGGCCAACAGATGGCCTTCGAGTAGATCGTACTGTAAAAGGTGCATTCACATATTCACAGTTGATGTCTTTGCCCAGACACCTGTTGCATCTGGGCCAGCCTTGGTCACAGCGCCGTTTGCCCTTGATACAGGCTTGGCATGATCTTTGTAATGTCACTGGATTTGAGCGATCAGGCGGCATGGGCTGCTGGGATATAGGTACGAGGTTGAAGATGTAATCGATTCAGACTGCAATTCCGACCTGGGCAGGTCTTATCCAATTGACCCACCGTCCACCTTAGTAATATCACTGCGTCGCTGCCTTACCAGGTAAGGCCAGTCAACCTACTTAGGTAGCCCCGGAGGGATAACACCATGTCGTCTTCGACTATAGTCAATGGCAGGACAAAATAGAAAATAAAGATCGCAAGAAACAGGTACTTTGGTAATACCAGCTAATAACCGAGTAACTAGTGACTAACTAGTTAAGCGTAGTCTGTGTACTAAGTGAGCATATGTACTGCAATATGCTCGTATTCGACTAAGCGATTGCCCAGATCTGCAATTAGGGCTACCGTTTTTGGAGTTGGAAATAATGACGATAACACCACTGCATCGGGTGCCAACCCCCCCAGCTTACACCAATCATGTGGATTCTCTCGGCCGGGACTAAGAACCACTTGACGACCTCAAGAAAAGAAAAGAAAAGACTACTGGATCCACCTCCTCTCAATATAGCCAGCTGATAGAGAAAAGTCCAATAGGTAAGCGGTTTTTATGCGCGAATAATTGACCTCAATGCAACGAAACGGCGCATTGCCAGCCGCGCTTCGCATCAATGCTAGTATTAGTCCCAAAGGATTTCTGCTATCTACCAGTGCGGAACTAGGAGCCGCCCAGGTGTTCAGGCTAGGGTTCATCCATGCTGAATTCGGACGTGACTAGTATGCGGCGCGGAGAACATACCCACATGGGTAAGCCCCGCCAATTTCTACTTGCGACCAGTTTTATCCTGCAGATATACGTGTCAGCCCTTGCTCCTTCGATAGGTCCTAGTGCTTATGGGTTCATATCGAGCTAAGTATTCACGAGAACCTAGGTATCTTCTTTCATTTTACTTTCTATGTGCTCTAAATATTCATCTAGTGCGCAGAGCAAGAAACAATGTCATACTTCACAGACAAGACGGACAATTACCCGAATCTGAGTCATTCTTTCAGATCAATGAGACCAGAGTATGATGTTGTGATTATAGGATCTGGCTATGGTGCTGGAGTAGCAGCAAGTCGAATGGCGCGGGCAGGGAAGAGCGTCGCAGTGCTAGAGCTTGGCTGGGAAAGAAGATGTAAGGATTGAGAGACTTCAAAACACCATCGCTAACACTTCTATAGCCGGTTCGTTTCCGCATACGTTCTCTCAATGTGTGCAAGACATGGGCATCTCGGGGAGTACTGCGAAGAACTCCTTCATCTCTAGGTGGCTAAAGTGGCTGTCGTCTGGGGACCCCACGCGGCTTTTTCAAGTATTTTTGGGCGATGGACAGCATTCGTTTGCTGCTCATGGTATGTGAAGCCCAGCATATCCTGGAATCCATGAATAAGAAAATCCAACAGCTTTTTGGTCGGAACCATAGGACTTGGAGGATCTTCATTGATCAATGCCGGAGTTTTCTTGAAAGCGGATGAAGGCACACTGCAGATGAGTCCATGGCCGTCCGAAATCAGGGATGAGCCATCTATACTCGACGAATGTGAGTTATATATGTACATGGCGGAGGACATTCCATAACCTAGAACCAATGCAGACTACTCGCGCGCCGAAGCAATGCTTCAACCTTCCACATATCCGGAGAATTCAACCCCGAATAAACTTCAGCAACTTTCAAAAGAGTGGAGATGGCTCGGAGAGAAAGGGAATTTTTATCGAGTACCATTGACCATATTTTTCCACAATGGCCGCAACAGTGCAGGTGTCCCGATGCAGGCAAATAGACAATCGGGCCACGAGTGCACTGGTCTCAACGACGGTTCGAAAAACTCGGTGGCGACAACTTATCTTGCAGATGCCTGGAATTGGGGAGCTGAGATATTCTGCGGATGTGAAGTCCAATTTGTAGAAAAGACTGACCGAGGAGGCTACACTATACACTTCGCCTGGCATGGAAGTGGGAGGTCGGAGTTCACGGATCATTTCAAGGAACAGCTCTTTTGGGTCAAAGCAGTAAGTGAATACATCCTTCAGAGGTGGATGTCTCAGCTCACACTGTCTACTTCAATCATAGAAGGAATTCTGTTTCCTTGGGGCTGGTGCTTTAGGAACTACTGGAGTCTTGCTTCGGTCAAAGCAGCACGGCCTCCATATGTCACCGCTCGTTGGAAGAAATCTATCTGGGAACGGTGACCTTTTGATATTTGGTACGCACGTCGCCAGGATATAAAACCGAGCGCGTTTGATTGACACATTCAAGGTTACAATGGAGATACCAATATCAACGGGATCGCCCGTGAATATTCACGTGCTCCCCCTGGAACAACTGTCACTGCTGTTATTGATAAGCGAGTTGTTGATCCCCCGGAAAATCCCCTATCTGGATATGTCATCCAAGATGGTTGTATTCCCGAGACGTTCAACCCTGTAATCCTAATCATGCTCACCCTGCAGACCATCAAGAGCCAGGCGCTATGCTGTCTTTGGAACCCTCGCCAAGAAGCCAGGAAGACCCTTGCCTCTCTTAAGTCTCTCCTATTCGGTCCATTTGCATACAATGGAGCTATTCAGCGCACTTCAACCTATCTTGTGATGTCTCATGACAGCAATGAGATAACATTGACCTTGAAGGATGATCAACTGTACCTGCGGGGACCGGCAGAGGGACGATCTGAGCATTTCAAATGGATAAAGAAGATGTTCAAGGAACTTTTTGCTCGCACAGGAGCAAGGATGGGGTTTTCATATCCTTATGGTAAGGATTGCCAAAAGCCACCGCAAAGCTACGCTAAACATATCCAAAGGTCGTCACCAGGAGGAAGTCACAGTCCATCTCCTTGGAGGAGCTAACATGAGCAACGATGGAACAGGGCATGGGGGTGTAACAAATCATCGAGGGGAGGTCTTCAGTGGGCCTAACGATGAAGTACACAAAGGCCTCATCTGTTGTGATGCATCTGTCATCCCGACAGCCCTAGGTATGTTTAAAGGGAAGACTTTATGGCTTGCTATATGCTGATTCTGGCAGGCGTGAACCCGTTGGCCACAATATCTGCCCTTTCCGAGCGGTCCGTCAGTTTGATCGCTGAGAGGTCTGGATTGTCAATTGACCTCGAGACTGAAAACCAGCCCTTGAACGCCTACAGCAAGCCTAGTGTATCATGGGATTGTCAAAACCACCAGAACAGTACCAAGAAAGCATCCCAGTCCATAGGATGGCAATTTACAGAGATTATGCATGGTCACATCCGCATCGGATCAGAGATTGGAAGTTTTGCAGTTTCTGAAAGGGTAGGGAAGGGTGCCTCCTGCTCGATGCGGATGTTTCTTACAGTCGAAATCTGCCGACGAGGAGGTAAGGAACCGAGAGACCCCTTTAGCAGTAGAATGCTCACCGTACATATTTACAATACCAAGGAACATGCAACGGGACGATTTCTTGTTACGCATTATCCAAAGCCACGCTCAAGATTGTCGATGGGACTGTTGACTTTTTCACGCCAATACAAGAGAATGCCGAATCATCAGCTATTTCATACCACCTGAAGCTCCTTTCGGTAGAGGGCATGGAGTACCGCCTGGAAGGTCACAAGCTCATCGACTCGAACATAGCATTCTCTGCCAGAAAGACCTGGGAAGCGACAACTACGGTGAACGTCCATATCACTCGACCGGATGGGACAAATGTTGGAGCAGGGGCCCTTCACATCTCATTACTAGACTTCAAAAAGCAGATGAGAACGTTCCGGACGACACGAGACTTCCAGATAAGTCTTATCTTGACCTTGATTGGCTTTTTGATTTCTTTTATGTACCATATCAGTCTCTTCTTCTTTCGCCCTTTCGTCCCTATGCGCTTCCCTCGGGTCTCAAAGCAACCCAATGACTCGAAACAACCACCTTCCACCTCATGCAACATCACTGCAAGCGATGGTGTACAGGTTCACCTTGATATATATGATCCAATTCCTATACAACAGACAGGCGAGCCAGGACCCAACTCCAACCATTCCCCCGTCCTGCTTTTGCCCGGAGTTACCGGGATCGGCGCGATCCACAATTTGTACTCACTCCCATTCTTGCGCTGCAATATGGTTGAGTATTTCACACGGCGTGGACACCGATGCTACGCACTCACTCCTCGTTGGGGCTGTGATCCCGCCGTTGCGCAGAAAAGCACTGTCTACGACTGCCGTCTTGACGTTGCTGCTGCAATAGGATACATTCGCGACAAAGAGCCACAGAAGCCCTATGTGATAGCCCATTGCCAAGGATCAGTGGCTCTCTGCATGGGACTGCTGGACGGAACAATCCAGAGTAACCACCTTCTTGGTGTTACTGCCAACTCCGTCTTCATGAACCAGGTCTTTGGGCATTGGAACTCTCTTAAAGGGAGAACGACTCTGCTGATCCAGTTTTACGAATTACTGGCTGGGGAATACTTCCCCATTGTCAGCAGTGCTAAGAGCGTTCTTTTCCAACGATTACTTGACGTCCTCCTCCGTTTCTATCCTGTTGGACACACGCGTGACCTTTGCACGTCTACAGCGTGTCACCGGACATCTTTTGCTTTTGGGTTACTGTGGAATCACGAGAACCTTGATATGGGTCTTCATGACAATGTTGACCGATTTTTTGCGGGGACCCATACAAAGCTTATGAAGCAAGTGGTTCGCATGGGAACTCGGGGGATCTGCATGGATAATGGTTTATGTCCTCTTCTGACAGCCGAGAATTTGCAACGGCTGAAAGGGTTACCGATTCTCTTTGTCTCGGGTACGGAGAATCAAGTATTCAACCCCGAGTCTACCCTTAAGGACTATGAGTTATTGCGACGACGATTTGGCGAGAGACTCTATCGCAGATTTCTAGTCGAGGGGTACGGGCATCTTGATCCTATTGTAGGGAAACATGCGGCCGATGATGTATATTGGAGAATCTTTGCCCATTTGAGATGGTGCACCGAAGAGATGGAAAATGAAATGGGAGAGGGATAAAGTTGAGGGGATGCAGGAAGCCCTATATAATAGCCCATTGCCAAAGTTTAGTGGCTCTCTGCATGGGGCTGCCGGACAGAAGGAGGTAATTCTCGTCTGGATCCCGTGTCTAATAAAGGTGTGTGCCCAGCCGGGCCAGCCCAAAGGAGAATCAGAGAGAACACATAAGTGGCAAGTCGCGCGATCCTCGTGCGGGTTACTTTAGCCGGATGGCTCTATGGAAGCCGATTAGCTCATAGCACAGCTCATCTTCCCTGGCAGAAATTCCTACTTCTAAAAGTGGCTGTATAGCTGTCCCATGTATAAGAGCTAGATTGGCAAATCAGCCCCCCAGCCCCTATTTTTCAGCACACCGCTCTTCTTCTCATCATTCTTGTGCTTTGTTAAGTTGGTTTCCTTCTCCTAACAGCCCTTCAACTAAAGCTTCTCTATTCTCAAACATTTCGAACGCAAAACCACGGCTACCAGCGATATGAATTACGAGGTTGAACAAGAAATTGTCGCATTCTTCGAGAAGACTACAACGACTCGCTCAACCTGTGACAACTATGCGAGGGAGCATCTTGGTGGCAATGTCACTCCAGTCGACGTGCAAGGCGTGTGTAGCTACACTGTCTATGCTGGTTCTAACGCCGAATTCGTCGTGCAGTATCGTCTGAAGTCGCTAGCACTGAAAATGGACTTAATGAACCTCGCCAAAGCCGTTTACGGTACCTTGACACCCCAGGTCTCCTTCAAGGGACAGATTGGGGAAGATCATGAGAGTAAAGAACCGCTTTACATATACGTGATGAACCGAATGCCAGGCATCTCTCACCTGGATTTCATCCTAGCCCATAACGGTGATGTACCTGAAAACTCGCCCGAGTTTTCCCACTGGCGCCAAAATCTTGTGGCCGACAACGCAAAGTATGTGATTCACTTCTACGTGATATATACAAAATTGCTGATTATATTTCTTACCATGTAGATTCTTTGCTCTATCTTGGATAGGTCCTCAGGATGTTGATCAAACGTACCGCGAGAACCTGTGCCATCAGTACGAACGAGACCTGAAATTGTTACTTGCTTCTCTCCCCATTCGATTCCACCTATTGATCAAGAAGTCTCTTGACTCGTTGCCGGCCATCTTTTCACTTCCTATGGTGCTGCTACATAATGATTTCGGTTCCTTCAACATGCTGGTAGACGAAAATTCTTGTAATCTGCTCGGCGTGATTGATTGGGCCGAAGCTGAGATTGCTCCATTTGGCATAAATCTCTACGCTCATGATCGTTTGATAAGTAAGATCCACTTGAAGCATGGCTGGTCCAGGTATGATGATTATCACCTTTTGGATGAGATATTCTGGAGCACGTTCAGTCAAGAAACCGGAGTGGACAATGAAACGATCAAAACCATCAAAGCCGCAAGGATTGCTGGAGTACTGTTGTGGCTTGGCTTTACAAGTCGTCTTCCGAATGAGCTGAAGCCAATGCCGATTTCTGATGATGATGAAAGTGGAGCATATGGGATGCGTGATTTAGACGGGCTTTTGATTAATCCAGCTACGAGGTTCACAGACTTGGTATGATCGGATGAACTAGAGAATTTGCAACGGCTGCAAGGGTTACCGATTCTCTTTGTGTCGGGTACGGAGAATCAAGTATTCAACCCCGAGTCTACCCTTAAGGACTATACCTAGGTAAGTTATTACGAGGACGATTTCGCGAGAGACTTTATCGCAGTTTTCTAGTCGAGGGGTACAGGTATCTTGATCCTATTATAGGGAAATATGCGGCCGATGATATATATTAGAGAACCTTTTCCCATTTAAGATAGTGCACCAAAGAGATGGAGAATGAAATGGGAGAGGGATAAAGCTGAGGGGATACACATAGGGGCTACACCGCCGGGACTATACAGGGATTATGAGGGGCTCAGGCTATACTTTTTGAGAGTTGAATGTTCTATAAGCTACTTAAAGCCTCGTCTACAATAAAAATCTGTCTATATAGCTTTCCGACATGGTCCAATTTTGCGAAGACTGCGGTCATCTTCTCCCAGTATCATCAGCAGAACGGATTTCATGTGAGCTCTGTGGGAAATCCACGGAGAGTGAGTGATACAACTAACCTTGAAAGATTTTCGGATTTTCTTTTCACTGACACTCTATGAACCTCAGATACAATGCTTACTGACGTCCAAATATCTTCGTCAACCAATTTCCCTTCGAGGCTTCGGACCAAACTGCTTTCCAAGACCCAGGTTGTCTCACAAAAGGATCTTGGCGACGGTCCTATAACGGACATGGAATGTCCCCAGTGCTCGAATTCCAAAGCTACTTGGACTGAGGCCCAGCTTCGGAGCGCCGACGAAGGAAGTACTATCTTTTACTGTTGCAGAAATAAAAAATGCAGACACAGGTATGCTACATACAAAATGCCCCAGCCCCTTGCTCGCCGAGTTTTCTGATATTCGGATTTAGATGGCAAGAAAATAATTGAATGGTGCCTCTATACCATTGCAGAAGTGATCAACTATAAGACGAAGCTATATCCATGTCGTATACCAAGCTCATAACTACTACTCTAGCGCTGTTCTAGGGCCAACCTTGGAAGTGATGAAGTCTATCTAAAGTGGATCGATTAAATCTGCTTTAAAAAAATCCACAGCCAATGAAATCGACGAATCTATACTCGTGTGTGGGCCCCCAATCATTCACATTCGCTTGGATAACCTCACTGGCCTTGACAGTCGGGAGGCGAATAAAATCGACCCACATAAGATCCGGTTCCTGAATTGAAAAATGGAAAATTCGAGGACGTAAAGAAACACCTACCCAAAGCACCATGTCTCTTGTATATATCACTACAGAACCCTCAGACCGGATTCACGTAAAAGGAATCACCCAGACGCAACCCGATTGGATCCACCCACAGCTAATCGAAAGCACCGACGCGATCAAAGGCCGCCAATTTCGCGTTTCCGGTCCCATCCCCAAAGGCACCTGTCTCCTCGTCGACGCCCCCTACGCAGTTATCCCCGTCGTCGACGAACCCGCCCACAACGACAATCTCATCTGCAGCAATCCCGCTTGTAATCGGCCCGCACCTCGCCACACCCGGACTCCATGTCCGAATGCCTGTATCCCGGATGTGACGTGGTGCGGCAGCACCTGTCTTGACGCCGATAGTCTTCGACATGAGTTTGAATGCGCTTGGCTCAAACGGTATGCGGGGACTATTCGGTCCAAATGGAGTGAATATGATTTCGGCATGTTGTGGGTGATCCTTCGATTGCTTGCTGCGCGCCATTGTCAATTGCAGGAACGGACGGCTGTTGGGGTCGTCGATCCGGCGGGACATTGGAAGCATGGATGGAGTGGGATTGAATCGCTCTGTGGTTCTGAGGATACTTGGCCTCATGATAAAGTCCGGTCTTGGTCTGTTCTTGTGAAGAAGTATCTGAGGAGTAGCCCTGCTATTCCTCATGGGATGAGTGCAGATCGTGTTCTTCATCTCATTTGTCAGGAAGAGGCAAATTCATTTGGTCTTTATCCACGAGAAACAGGCCATTTCCCACTGCCGAACCCTCCTGTCGATAGAGGAGAGCAATTCGCCGCTGCTGTTTATCCCACTGCGGCAATCGCTAATCATTCATGTCTGCCAAACGTAAGTGGAATTGTTCCCCGTCAGATTTGAAAAAGTGCTAATTCACCACCAGGTCATCCATAAAGCCGATGACAAGGGCCGAATGGTGTTTACCGCCTCCCGTGACATTTTCCCGGGCGAGGAATGCTGCATCTCGTACTTCGACCTGACACAATATACGGATCTTGCTTCGCGTCGCGAGCATCTTCGGAAATCGTTCCGTTTTGTGTGCCAGTGTGAACGATGTGTTTCCGAAGAGCCCAACGAATCAGCAGAATGGACTGCTATGCCAATGATGGATATATGAGAGTCGCCGACTATAAAATGACTAGACCTATAGAAACTAGATAGAGCACTATACCACGATACACCTTCTAAATTATGTATAGATTAACATGCTTGTTCAATCCTTGAAAACAGGTAACTTGCAAGTCAAATTTTTATTTTTATCTACTCATCCCTAAGCGCAAATGGCTCTTGTTCCGTATCCCAAGCTAGCTATTACAGCCATATCCTCCCAATAAGATCCCAATCCAAATGCACATCTGCCATCCAAATCCATACATCTAAACGAAGAGACCCCAATCACAAATCTGCAATCTCCCAATCAAAGCCCCAATAGTCTCCTCAGCAACCGCCTCCTCAAGCGACAAACCCCTCGGGTCCCCATTCTTATCAAACTCCTCATGAGGCACATTAAAGAAGACCAACAAATCCGTCTCCTGCGCCTCAAGTCTAACAAGCAAGAAATGACACGTCAACCTCGAAACCTGCGGCAAACCACTAGAAACCCCATTCATCTGCGTACCCAGCACCCCAGAATCCGAAACACCAGCAGCGGACCCATCAACAGAGACAGGGACACGACCGCCGCCGCCACGCGCGGGGGTCGTGAAGGAGACAACGCCGCGATACGCCTTGATAGTGGCAGGAGAAGGCGAGGAAGAAGCAAGCTGGACTTCGACGCGCGTGGGCGATTTGATAACCTGCATGGTGTCACCTTCGTCGCAGAGATCGTGCAGGTGGTACAGGGCAGCGGCTTGGTCGACTGTTTCTGTCGTTGCGGATGCTGCGCTGCCGCTGCCTGGGGCGGTGGTTGGTTGCTGGTGGTCGAGCGCGGCGAAGGTGCTTAGAGCTTCTGCTTGCGGGACACGCTGGTTGATCTCGATGATTAGGTTGGAGAGTGTGGTTGGTGAGAGCCAGAGCTCTTGGTGGTCGGGGACCTCGCGGAGAGTACTGGGGTTGGGTGTTAGTTGGGTTCTTTCTAATTAGGATGTTTTGGGATTGGATGGGATTGGATTGAAGGAATCATATGGGAAATTCATGCATGGGGGTGGGGGGGGGTTGTAGAGTTGTATGCTAACCTCGAATCAATCCAGCCTTGTGGCACGACGCCTCGAATGGCTCCGCCGAAGAACTCTTGCTCTGTGAATTGAGACATGTTGGAGTTGGTATGTCTTTATTGTAAGACGGAGGGTTTTGGTCTTTTTCTTTTCTTTTCTTTTCCTTTTCAAAGGATGTTCTGCTGGTTGTGCAGGAGCAATCCAAACTCTTCGAGATAAATTGCGGATTTTTTCGCCGGTTCCTTTTGTTTTTGCTTGAGGTCCGACAATACAAGGGAATACAAGCAATACTAGAGAGGAGCACGGATTAACAGGGACTATATAGTTCCAGAATGGAGAAACCGTTTAGGTAGACGAGCAGACGTGCATGAGGCAACAATTGCGGGCGGGTGTTTTCCGCCCAATGACGTTTGGCGGTTTGTCGGTTTGGCGGGGTGTTGACTCAATATACGAGCTACATTTAAGCGACTATCAACTCACGGATTTAAGGCATTTGAGTCATGATATCTGAAGAAGAAATATGACTCGATTCATTGAAATGGCAAAGTGAATCACCATTTGAGAGCAGGGTTTTTAGGAACCACCACGACAACCGGTCTAATCTGGTTACGACCTTTAGTACAGAAGAATAGTTTAGCTGCTTTTACAGCTTCATTATGTCTCTTTAGTGGTCTTTTATAAACCTACACCAAAATAGCTAACCTTATGCCCGGGTACATCACTACCTATGTAGGTACTTTCTGCAGAGCCAACCTTGGAAACTCTAGGGTTTCCTGTTACAGACACTGTAGGGCTACATTTCTCCTACAACGTTTGATCTATGTGACGAACGGAACTTGTTTCACTTGCATATCTGATGAATTCGAAGAGCAGGTTCATTGACTAATAGAAAAAAAAAGCAATTGGTATCGTTAACTCATGATGAGGCTTGAGTGCAGGGCTGCCCAAATTTGCTTATGGAATGACCATGGTAATGATCACTCCTAGGGAGACCATCTTAGTTGCCACCGAGGCCGAGAGCACCCTTGACCTTGTCACCGCTGGAGATATGGTTAGAATATGACTCTTTGGCTTCAAGAATAGAGTGACTTACATGGAGCCGGTGGCACCGCCGTGGCCGTGGTTGTCACTGGCACGCTGGGTCTTGTCGAAGGCCTCCTGGCCAGCACCCTTGCTGTCATCGGTCTGCAATCCGCGGGTAGTGCGATCAGAGGTATCGGTGACGGTCTCCTTGACCTTGTCCTGGGTGGACTTGGTGGAGTCAGGAGTGAGTTCCTCCTTGGCCTCTGTAGGAAATGTTGTCAGTCACGATGCCTTAAGATCTTGACAGGCAGGTATGGCAGTGTCACATACTGGTGGTAAAATCCTTACGACCTGCGTCAGACATGGTAAAGATTGGTTGAAGATTGGTAGTTGAAAGTAGATGTAACCCTTGGAATTGTATGGTTTGGTTGAAGTAAGAGATGTTGATGGAAGAACAGGTAAAGAGGCAAAGAGGGGGTTTATATAGATTTGTTTGGCCTCTTTGCGAGCTCATAAAGAGACATAATATGACGTTGTTAGTTGTTTTCTTTCGTGATCAACTTGCTTTATTCGCAATACAAACCAGACGCAGCTAGGCAATGGTGTATACAGATCTATTTGGGCCGGAGGCCCGGACTAACCACAACCTCCAATTTAAATAAATGGTTCCTCCAATCAGCATAGTTCCTAAGGCTCAGCTGTTCGTGACATTCCACGACGTACAGGCTGTGACACTCGATATGCTCTCGATTCGTTCAATTCGATTTTCTGGTGATGACATCAGGAAGATATTCCAGGGCACGGCTGCGAAGGCTTACGGATTAGAAATCACATGATTATTTCTTATCGCAAGTTTGGCTGTCACGTGAAATTGATAATCCAGGGGTAACTAGGCCTAATTGGGAATAAATAATAACAGGCGGTCAAGGATTATTGGCAGAACTACCCACCGCCTTCGTAACCCCCCTCGGGCATGAACTGTAGTCGTTCATCTCCGTCCAACTTGTTTGCTTTCATTCTCATCCTTTCTTTTTGACTCACTATGTGGATAAGATCTGTTCTTCTTCATGCATCATTGTCTCATTCTCCCTGATTACCAACCTGATCGTTATCTTGGTGACAGCTCTTTGAATTATCGTTCTTCCATTTGCTACCATCCAAACGCCAAACACACGAACCTGTTACACACCCGTTACATCTGTCTCATCTAGCGGTCAATGACTGTGTCAGATCCTCCTGTCCCTTCAAATTGGGACTTCACTCCAGTGCATGACCTACTATGTTCGCCTATTGAAGGCTGCACTGCGAGACCTAGTCGCCACAATGAATCTACAATCACCTCGCTTGGTGAACAACAAGCCGAGGGTGATCCGCGTTACACCACTAATGGTAGGCTCTTAGGTCTTACCTCCCAGCGGAGTAACCCAAAACTTGGTGACTTCGGTTCTCTTTGGGAGCTTTTCAATGGGGCCCCTGCTCCTGCAAGCGTCACACCCACTTTAGGGACTACAAGGACCACCAAGTCTGAGCTGGAGAAGGTTCAGCCATCACTTGAAGAACTGCTTCCTAGTTCAGCGGAAAGACCTGTCAAAAAGGTCTCATTCTCTGGCATCCCCGGCATCGAAAAATCCGTCCCCATTTCATCTGACGCATCTCACATCACCAATGAGCCAAATCCTCGGGTCCTCAAGGACACCATCACTGGCTATACCTCCCATTATCCTTCTCGCCCGAAAGCACATGTGACAGGTATTCCTGTCGATTTTGAGGGTCGATCATTCACTATCTTGAGACGGGCCTCTGTTCATGAGCCTTTAGAATCGAATGCCAATGTGAAATTTGGTATTCCACGAACCCCTCCGGAGACAATTACTAGAGCCAGTGTTGGTGATCCAAGTGATACTCCCACGCCGAAACCCAAGTCTCGTTCTCGCGGAAAAGATTTCCGGAACAACACGCGCGATAATCCAGTCACTTCCGAAGAAAGTACTGGGCTAGACTCGGACACGAGCATTGTGTTCGATTATCCCGTTTCTGAGAAACCTGTGGCCATTCCTTTTGTCCCTTTTCAAGTCGGCAGACCTGAAGCGAAGACTCACCATTATGATACCCCGCCGTCCTCGTTTGACGATAATGAGTGGATACTGAATACTGATCCCATCCGAGGATTTGCTTCTGGAGGTACCCTGCACCAATCCGCCTCGGAGCGAAGAGTCACCTTGATGAGTAGACTCCTCGGTCATTTTCCTGATTACGCCAAAGTCGTGTCTCAAGTGGGACAGACTTTACACCATCATCCCAATGAGAGTATTACCTCACGTCCTATTCATGTATTTGTTGATGTGTCGAATGTATGCTTTAGTCCCCCCAGCCAACATTTGTCAAGCTAATTTGCCTCAGATCATGGTCGGGTTCCACGATTCGGTGAAAGCCTCGAGAAATATCCCTCTCTCAACCCGAATTCGTCGTGTCCACATGTCCTTCGCGAATCTCGCATTGATCATGGAACGCGGCCGCCAAACCGCCAAGAGAGTCTTGGTCGGATCAGATCGTCTTCCCTCCGTCGATGAAGCCGAGAGACTCGGCTACGAAGTGAATATTCTTGAGCGTGTGCAGAAGGTGAAGGCGATCACACCCCGTCGCAACGGCAAGTCACGGAACAATACTGTCTCCAGTTACCAGTGTGGATATAGCGGTCCTGAAACGGTCGCTGCCTCTGGAGAGCGATGGGTTGAGCAGGGTGTGGACGAAATTCTACACCTGAAGATCCTGGAGAGCCTTTTGGATACGGAACACCCGGCGACGATTGTTTTGGCGACGGGGGATGCGGCAGTAGCCGAGTTCTCCGGCGGTTTCATGAAGATGGTCGAGCGCGGGCTACAGCGCGGCTGGAATGTTGAGCTTGTCAGCTTTTCTCAGGGCACTAGCTACGCATACCGGAAGAAGGAGTTCCGGACTCGATGGGGAGACCAGTTCAAGCTGGTTGAGCTTGACCGGTACTTGGAGGAACTGTTTGAGTGAATGCTCCCAATGGAGGTTCACCTTTGCCATTTCAATCAAATGAAATCAATACTTATCTTTTCAGCTGTATTTGGATGCCCTAAACATTTTACAGCCCTTATTGCCTATCGGGGAGCTAAATGAACCACTGTAGTCCTTCTAAACGCTAAATGATGTACAGAGCTGGCTTTTCTACCGCTAGTCTATACTGCCATTGAATCTCGTTGTCGCTTAAGTTGACCAAGCTCGCGCTCTAGCTCTTTATACTTCGCCCGTGCCCCTGGTGTATCCTTGGGAAGATCATGGAACGCCCTCACGCGGCCTTGCAAAGCCTTGACCGTCTCCCGCATCTTGATAACATTCTCCTCCTCCGCTATCAGCTCGTCAATAGTCGGACCCCGGGGCTGGACTTTTTCAAGTGATGCAATGCGATCTTGGTACTCCCCGACCTTGATCGCAAGTGTCTTCGTGCCGCGTGTCCACTCCGACGTCAAGCTTTGTGTTTCGGATGGTGTTTCATACGCCACATCGGTCTTCAATTCCTCAAGCTCCGTCTGTAGCCGTGCTAGCTCTCGTTGAAGGTACCGATGCAATGTGTCGACCTTTGCAATTTGTTCCTGGGCCTCGAACTCCTCCACCGTGAGCTCCACAATCGACTGCCCCAGATCCCCCGGGTTCGGATTTAAAGTATTGCCCAGAGCGGCGGCAGAGTTGGCGAGGTCCTCTAGATCACGTCTTCCTGTATCATCCAAACACATCTCGACTTCATCAAGGAGTTGATTCTTCTGTTGTTCGTGGGGATCTTTGCGTTCGAACTCTTCCCGTAGTTTGTATGCCTCAACGGCCTCTTCACGCGCGCAATGTTGTAGAGTGGCTTCTTCATCTGCAGCATCATTGGCTGCAGCTAGGGTCAGGAGGACGCGGAGGGTATCTTCATTGCGCTCGAACTTGGGAACCGGTTTAGGCGCGTATTGTCGATTGAGCCAGGAGTTGACGTACGCCCAATCTTTAGCTTGGATAGCAGCCTGGCGGGCCTTAGCTGGCGAAACGAGTGGACTATCCATAGGAATATGTAGCAATGCAACTCCAGAAATGAATCGAGACAAATCAGGAGGGGAAAATAAATAGCCTTGGAGAGTAATGTGTTGACGATAAGATACGGCCAAGGCGGTCGATGCGCCAAGTGTGAGGTTGTCCTCTACTTCCCCTCGCCGACTCTCCGGGCTGCTCGAACAACAATGACCAGCTACTTCCCACCAGCTGGCAGCGCCAGTAATGGCGCCAGTACGCCGACCGCATCCTCTCCGTTGTCCCCGCCAACGCAGCGCCCGACCGCGCTCACCAATCGGTTGACAACGGTGCTGTCGGCATCGTATGCGGACTCGGACATTCGGGACTCCCTCGAGACTTTGAGCTTGAGAGGCATTCACAACACTGAAGAGACACGTCGGCAACTACGACTAGATGTACAAAAGGAAGTTGTCGATTGTAATGCGGAGATTGTCAAGGACTTTGGGAAAGTGGCCGAGGTGAGACTCCTATTGCTCCTTTAGAGGTAGGGCTCCGGAACTCTAATTCCTGAATGGCGATTACAGCAATTGAGACGGATCGGAACGGTTGTCTCTACGCTCAATCAGACCTGCGAAGATATGCGCAAACGAATCAACCTCGCGAAGCAGGATACCACGCCGGTACTCGAGGAGGCTAGCGTTCTGATGGCACAGAAGAAAGAGACCGAGACCAAACAACAGCTGTTGGAAGCCTTTTCGAAACATTTCTTAGTTCCGGAAGAGGATTTACTGGTCTTGACGTCGGCCGAGGAGCCTGTTGACGAGCGGTTCTTTGACGTGTTAGCTCGTGTTAAGCAAGTGCACCACGATTGCGAAGTCTTGCTCGGCGGCGAGAATCAGCGACTGGGCTTGGAGGTGATGGAATTGAGCACCCGGAATCTCAATTCAGCATACCAGAAACTGTACCGATGGATCCAGAAAGAATTCAGGTCCCTGAATCTAGAGGACCCTCGCATCAGTAGTACAATCCGCCGCGCTCTACGGGTGCTGGCAGAACGCCCGAGTCTATTCCACAGTTGTTTAGATTTCTTTGCGGAGGCACGGGACTATGTGCTGTCCGATGCTTTCCACTATGCATTGACCGACGCTGTTTCCGGGGCCAATGGGCCCGGCGCCGGTGATCACACCGTTAAACCGATTGAGTTCTCGGCGCATGACCCACTCCGGTACATCGGTGACATGCTTGCCTGGGTGCACTCGACAACTGTATCAGAACGAGAGGCTCTGGAGTCATTGTTTGTTGACGACGGGGACGAACTCGCTCGGGGGATTCAGGCCGGCCTGAATAGCGAGCCCTGGTCGCGCATCGATGAGGATCAAGAAGTTGCCTTTGATGGCCAAAAGGCACTCAGTGACTTGGTCAACCGCGATCTTACTGGAGTGTCTCGATCTCTGCGGCAGAGAGTAGAGCTCGTCATTCAGAGTCATGAAGACCCCATTACTTGCTACAAGGTGGTGAACTTGCTGTCTTTCTACCGCACAACCTTCACCAAACTAGTGGGCGCGCAATCGCACTTGGTCGACCTGATCCAGAACTTGGAAAAGTTCACTCTTGGCCACTTTGAGACTTTGATGCGCGACCAGATCAGCGCCTTGGCGGGCGACAATATTGCCCTGACTCCACCAGACGACCTGTCGCCCCCACAGTTCTTGCTAGATGCGTTGGAAGTCCTGGAATTACTGATGAAGACCTATGAGACTTCCGTCGGACCAGAGGATTCATCTCCCGACGCGAACGAGAACCCGTTCACTTCTGTCCTCCGAGCCGCCTTCGATCCATTCTTGACACTGGCCCGGTCCTCATCCGACGAACTCCAAACCACAACAGCGCAGTCCATCTACCGCACAAATATACTCCTTGCAGCCCGCGCGGCTGTGTCACCATTCCCCTTCGCCAGCTGCACACACGTCCCTCCCATTTCTGCAGCCCTATCAACTCTCCGCAGCGATCTCCTCGACACCCAACACCAATTCCTCCTCGAGACCTCCGGTCTCCAAAAGCTCTTAGATGCCCTAGGACCTTTCTCAGAGACCGCCGAAGACAAGACCGAGAAGCCAGACCAGAAACCCCACCTAGCTGACCTGGCCAGTCTCCCAGCCTTCCAACCAGAGTCCTTGATTACATCCAGCCAACAACTCGACGACTTCCTCCCATCTGCGCTTATGGACGCAACCGATAATCTGAAACGTGTACAAAGCCTCTCCCTTATTCAGAGCGTCACTGAGGATGCGGTTGAGGCATTCTGCCGTGATTTCGAGTTCGTCGAAGGCATGATCATTGCCGCCGACGAGGCGCGAGGAACTGTGAATGTGGCCATTGGAACAGGGGACAGTGTTAGCGGCCGGAGTGGTAAATCCGATGGCAGGACAGAAGCCAGCGAGAAGGATAAAGAAGAGGTCGAAGAGGGCGAGGATGAACAATGGAGTTTGAGGTCGTTGTTCCCTCGAACGACGGGGGAGATCCGAGTGTTGTTGAGTTGATCTATATATCCCCTATACAGGTTGTACTGATCTATATCGAAATGTACAATGAAAACATGCAGCTGCACAGCCCTGGAAATCAATGGGTGCGCTAGAAGCGCTCAGTGAGAACATATTAGGACCCAGATAGAGCATTCGAGTTAACAGGAACAGGACTATGCCAAATACATGTAGACAATAAACAAGAATTGCTATTGCATTCCTATAACCGTATCGAACATACAACGTCCCCACAGACGAGGGGGATAGAGACAAGAGAGCAGAACCAAAAAGTCCAAGATGAGTGAATCAAAATCTACTCTATCCACCTCGCTCACCAAATTCCCTCGCCCAATCTTCATATTTCCGAAGCCCATCGGAGGAAACACTAGGGCGAATGGAATACAAACTTGACTCGAAGTCCTGGAAGATAATGGCGCGGATCTGGTCCATAGGCGTGTGTAGGAGGGCCTCACCCAGATTACGCAGGGGGCCCATGGCCGCATCTTTAGCGAGGGCTGTTATGTCTGAACCGGAGAAGCCTGGGATTTTTAATTAGAAATACGAACTACACAAAAAAAAAGGCGGGTATACGTGTGAGGAAACAACATACCTTCTGTCACCTGTACCAGAACCTGGATATCCGCATCACTCAGCTCGTGATGCTGATGACTGAGAAGTCTGCGTATCTGCTGCTCGCGGACATGGTGTTCGGGCAAGGGGATGTACTGGCGACGGACGAAGCGGCGACGTGCAGCCTCATCGATATCCCAAGGCATATTGGTAGCCGCTAAGACGAGGACGCGACTAGCGTCGCCTTCCTTCTTCTCGCGGCTTGTTTGTTCGCGGCCTGCTGCTGCGCGCTGGAGGTCAGACCATTGAACGAGGAATTCAGTCTTGGAGCGGCGGGAGGCTTCGTGCTCTGAGCCGGATGATCGGGCAGAGAGGAGGGAGTCGATTTCGTCGACGAAGATGATGGATGGAGCGAGGGCTTTGGCGAGCCCGAAGAGGGCGCGCACGAGCTTCTCGCTTTCGCCGTGCCATTTGGATGTTAGGCTTGATGCGGAGATGGAGAAGAAGGTTGATTTTGATTCTGTGGCTACTGCTCGTGCGAGCATGGTTTTACCTGTGCCTGGCGGACCGAAGAGGAGCATTCCGCGAGCTGGTTCGCGGAGGCCAGAGAAGAGGTCTGGACGGAGGAATGGGTAGACGACTGCTTCTTTGAGGGCCTTTTTGGCTGCTTCTAAGCCTGCTATGTCATCCCAGTGTACTTCGTCACCGCGCACCACGATGTCGTTCAGAATTTGCTTCGCTGACTGCGGATCCACGCCCCTAGGCAATTTTTCCATTATTTTCAAGATTTCACTGTCGTCTTCCTCGTCTTCGTCCTCTGCGTCGCTTGCTGTGGTCCGCTGATCTGAAGACTCTTGGTCGCTTGACAGTGGTGTCTCTTGCTGTTTGACTGGTGTGGCTTTGCGCCGTATTGCACTATCGCTATTCCCTTGAGAAATAGCCAGCCGGTCGACACCGCGATGGAAATCATCACCACTAGCGGATGATGGGGAAACACGGGCCGTTTCACCAATTATGGGCGGTCTAGGCGCAGAGTTTGTCCGCGGCTTATCGTTGGAAGAATTTTTTTCACGGTCAAGCCGAGGCGTCAGACTCCGAGAAGTACTCTCGGACTTGGTGGCTTGCATTGGATGGCTTGTTGGTTGATGGGAGGATCGCAAGCCCACAGGCTTGGGTTTGATGGATGGTCTCAGGTGGTGCAAAATCAGCCGGGTTCGGCATAGACATTGCATGAGGATTTTGTTGTTTAGGGCTGTCAGGGGGAGGTCGAGGCACCCGCGGCGGCAGCTGACTGGGCGACTGAGTAGACGGTCTGGGAGAGGACCTTTTTGGAGATGAACGAGGAGGCTCTCGCCAATGGGCAGCAGGGAATACGGTCTCCGGATAGCTGGTCTTGGGAAGAGCGAATTCTCGGCCGCGGAGGCTCATCCCCAGAACTAGATCTTGGTTCTGGATCTCGACGGAAACTGGGGCCGTGGGCGGCGCTTTGCCGAGATGATGCGAGAGCCGCCTCGCTCACAGGCTTCTCATCCGATGCAGAGCGATAGATGCTACCCCATGCTAGACCCGCAGCCGTAGAGGCAGCAGGTCTCGATTCCTTCTTCTTTGATGCAACCTTGACTTTCTTGCCATTCTTTTTGCCATCGCTGCTGCGCAGAGTTGTCAACATTGGTTTCCGGCGCTCGGGACTGGAACCACGCGACTTCGTTTTGCCCGAAGAATTTGAGTCCACACGCAATGCAGGCGAACCAGCCGCTGACAGGGCGGCTGTGCCAGCATCGTCGTAAACTGGCGGCGACTCATGACTTTGTTTTGTCGGCAGCGCAGGGCGGTTGGGTATGGCGGCTGGTTTGGAAAGGTCGGTGTATCCCACTGCAGGGATTGTTCCATCTCCGATCCAGCCCGGGGTGTTGGAAGATGATGGCGGTATGCTGGGGGTAGACTTGCCCTTGACAAGGGTAGCGGCCTGTTTACTGCCATTTGCCTCTGCGGATTCTTTCCTGCTTTCTTGGAGAGCGCCTAGTAGATCGACCCGTTCTCGGCATTGAATCTCTAGCGCCCGGATGGAATCCTGCAGGGCTCTTTCGGTTTCGGATTTCGGGGTATAGTTCGAAGGTACACGACGGGCATTGTGGTGGTAGATAGTCTCAAGGGCAGATCTCCAGGACCTCAATGCTTCCTCCTCGTTGTTCTAATATAATGAGCCTCAGGGAACTGGTGTCGAACTAGTGGACTCACCTGCCCCTCAAAGTACACTGCAGTGGAGCACGCGAGATAGCACTCGTCGTACGTCTTCTGCAGGGAAGACGCAGGCCGTGGGCGCATCATTTGGAATATACAGGCCCGCCTGTATCCATTTCACGACAAGTTGGTGGAGTTGGTGAAAGCGATGATCTCCCGCAGGTGGAGGGGGGAGGATTTTTCGCGTGACGTAGTCGATTCGGAGTCGATTCGGAGTTATCTACTGCATGCGTCCATTGAACTACATACATACATACATAACTAGGTAGCATCTTTATACAAATCAATTGAAATTGTAAAACCCAGATATCATCTCTAAATTCCTCACGTCTATGGGTACATGCAAGATACTAAAAAAAAACATAAGTTATAGTGATGCCACAAGAGAACCCAGCCCTCTCAAGAAACCAAAAATAAAAGAACCAGAGGGGTTTCCAACGCCGGTCACAGTATAGGACACATCGAATGGAAGAGAGCATCGAAGAATCCAAAGATAAGAAAATAAGAAAATAACCACCAGGTTTAATCTCCGAAGTCGAAAGTGGCCGTGTCCCGCTTTTCCCAAAACTATACATTGCCGAAATGCTTTTATGAAAAGCCCTAAACATGCAAAGAAGATCGAAATCCAGGCTCTGCTGGCCCAAGATGCGCCATGATGAGGGTTGCTGGGCTCCGCCCAACCCCCCAAAATCCAGAACATATTGTAAAAGAACAGACCCATATCGCCCGAAGAGATCAAAGAAAGATTATATGGTGCCCACACAAACGTGGTATATCGAACAAGTAGCAGGTCCATCGGGAATGGTGGATGGGACCCATGGCGAGCGGCCGTGGGAGAGGTTCAGGTCGGGGTTCGTTTAGTCAAGGTGCTTCTTGAAGTAAGCCTTAGCCATCTCATAGGATGTCCTAGAAAGAAAAAAGTCAGTAAATATCGAATCAAGTACGGAGAGAAACCGAGTCTTAGAATTGGACGTACCAGCAAATTGCAGTGCTCGGCATAGTGGAAATAATCCGAGGGCGCATGCCACGCAGGAAGCCAGACCAGCCAAACTGGCGCTTGATGATGGCAGCGGCGTTGAACAGACCCCTTGCGGACCGCACCTCCTCGCTCTCTGCGAGGCCACGGGTCTGAAGGAGCGTCTTTACGACGTCAAGGGGGGTGGTAATACCAGCTGCGAAGGCACCGGCCAGACCACCTGCGATGCAGTGGGTGAACGGGTCGTACTCATTCTTGGGGTTCATGACCTTCGAGATGGACTCATAGGCAACGAATTGAGTGGCCGTGAAGGGCACGGTCATGCAAAGTGTGGTAGGGTAGGAGACGTAGAAGGCCTGGATACCTTCGGTGCGGTAGAGGGTCTTGGCGCATTGCGCCAGGGTCTTGTGAACTGAGCCGTGGACCTGCATACGTTGCTTCATAACTGGAAAGCGAGTTAGCTGGGCGCGACTTATTGCCTCACATGGATCACTTACCATCGAATGGGTTCATCAGCGCATCGCTGGCAATGGTAGCGGCCGCTCCACTCATAGCTGCACGATAAACATGTTAGTGCACAAGATAAAACCAATCCAACAGTTCCGAAAATCTTACCGGCAGCCAAGGGGTGGTGTCCATCGTCGACATTACCACCAGCCATTTCCTTCACAATCTCATATGTACCGAAGTAGACAGCGTGGGCGGGACCTATCGTCGCGAATCAGAATTGAGTCTTTAACTCAGGACTTTCCACGATATACACACCTGCACCGACAATAACACTCGAGACTCCCTTCCATAGTGTCCGCCAGCCCTCAACCCGATAGATTGTAGAGACCGCGTTAGTCAATCCGGTGTAGAGACCGCCAGTTGAAGGGGTCAAGATTTGCATGCGAGTCTAGCGATGCGCAAAATAGTCAGCGCTCGATCCTTTTCCCCAGTTCAAATGCCATCAATCCAAAATCAAGCTTACCTTGAGCAAGTCAACAGGGTACATCACTGAGTGTTCCTTTTATCCAGTCAGCCAAAAATCCTCATAAACACCCCCTAACAACCATGTAGACATACCGCTATCCCCGCAAAAGCACCGGCCAGCATATTCCGGCCAAGGCCATAGTTGGACGGAAGGGCTTCATAGCTAGAACAGGTTGTATCACATTAGCTTAGGCCACACAATTGGATTCCGCAGAGCGACAACAGGGCGAACAAGTCAGGATGCTCAACAGGGACAATCAAACAATGTCTGGAACAGATCATATCTCCGGAAAATACGATGTGTTTGTCCCTGTGTTCATTCCAGCGAACCCGATGCCCGACTGCCGGGGAATGAAAAAAAAATCCATCGGAGAGCGACATACTCGAATTCCTGTCCGGGAATCTGATCGGGAGCCGCCATGGAGCTTCCGCTAGCTCAAGGCGCAGCTGTAACAGATGAAGAGTTCGTGCGGAGAGGGAGGGAGGTGGTTGACAGTGGCGGAGGTGGAGGAATGGAAAAGTGAAGATGAGATAAACGGGGATTGGGGTTGGAGATCCCAAGGAACACAGACACAATGCCAACAAGAGAGTAAAAAGAACAGAAAGCCAACAAAATGGGAGTAAGAAACGAGATGAAGAATAGGAGAATAGAAGAATAGAAGAAGAATGTTCTTTCTTTTTTTTTCTTTTTCCTTTTAACGGAATATCTGGGGAGGAAATCTTTAAATATTGGAAATTTAGGTGTTTTGGGCTCAGGAAAACGGCGCTAGGGAAATTATTCACGGACTTGCCAATGTTGGCTATTATGTTATGATTTTACACTCTTCTTATTTCTGTTGGGCTTATTAGAGACTATCTTCTACCTATTCTCTCTATCTTCCTTATTCTCCTTACTTTAATCCCTTTAGGAATACTCTGGAGAATGCCCCCGGGGTGTGCTTATTCAGAATCGGCGGCCAGACCCTGGAAGTAACTCAACATAATACCTACCTAGGTACGGAGTACATAAGTAGGTAGTTATATGTAGTTATATTAGTATCCATAAAAGGCCGACATAACTGTACGGAGTATTCCGTCCATCTCCGGATAACACATGCCTATTAACACTGAGGACCAAGACATCCAAGGTAAAATATCTCCGGAACTTCCGATGACGGAGTTTACCCTTTAACTTTTTATGTAAAGTACCATACCGGTACCTTCACAGTGTAACAACCACGGTACAGGTACATCATTGGTACCCCTGATTTTATCAATCAGATAAGACGGTCCCCCCTAATAAGCCATGTACGCCCTTGACCACATTTCGCCTAACTCATATTGAGTGGAGCTCTGGGCTCCTTGGGCTTCGAGAAGGGTTTTCTTTTTTTCTGTTAAAGTACCTATAACCATCTCCTTTATACATACATATACACAGGTGTACATGATATTATTTCATGTCCATTCCAAGGTTGTTAACTAAGATTTAGCTCTCGTTTCAACCCAAGAGACGAAGCAGAAAAAAGAACACGCGATTTTTGACCGGGGCATGCCGAGCCCCGGTGGGACTACAAGCCGCGAACTAAACTCATCCGGTCCGTATATATTGGCTTGGTTTCGGCTGAGTGGCCCCCTGTTTCCCATGGAAAACCCTTACACTTCATAGTCAAGGGATCGAATGTGGTGGATATCACTTTGGGCTGCCAGTCCGTAGAGTCACTCTATAGTATATAGGAGCGTACATGGGCAGAGTTCTCATTCTCCTTCCACTCGCTACATGTGGTATCCTCAAAAAGGATGCATTGAATGGGAGAATTTCACTGACATCTGCCTGTTATAAAAGCTCTGGAAATAATCATTTCTGTAAGGAAAAACCGATACGCCTAAACTCGAGGCAATGAGGAAAGAGAAGACGGAGTCTGTGATGGCTGTGATGGAAAAAAGAACACACCAAAAGAAAAGCCCTCGTCAAATGAGGATACATGCAGAATTCGAGGCGTTTCGAGGAAACCCCAAACACAAAACTAGGATGATTTCAGCCCTGGAGATGGATGGATATTACCGTTGTTGCTGCGAAAACAGTGCAAGAGTCACGATCTCAATGCATGACGGGTCAAGGGAGGAGGAGGAAAAGGAAAACAGGTATGCTGGAACTTCTTGTAAAAAAAAATAGTGTCGTTCACGTCGTCAAGATCTCGTCCGTAACTAGTCTACGGCGAGCGGAGGGTTAAAGTTGTGATTTACCACTCAACGTTAAACGACCACTCTCCTAGAGAACATGGGTTAGCAGTGTAGTGAGATCACATATCAGATTCCCACTTACCATTCTTCAAGTTCTCGGCAGTGTCACTCAATAGAATCACCCGGCGCTTGTTGCAATAAGCAGTCTTGTCCAGGATATCGACTTTGAGTTCTGCCAACTCGGCAACTGGCTTCTCGAACATCTCACTGAGACTCTCAACGGCCATCTCCAGATCCTTCTGGTTATCCTCAAATATCTCAGTGAGGTTGTTGCGAGCAAGGTAAAATGCAAACGCGTAAGTCCACTTCAAGGTCTGACGGCATTGCTGCAGGGCCTGCGACGCGGTATCCAGGAACTGCACCTCAATCCAGGACAGACCAGACTGCGACTGGAGGCTAGTCATCTTCTTCTCGGTCTTCAGGTACAAATCCTTGTCGAGCTTGGCAGACTGCTCGTGGTTCGCATACCGATTATAGTAATGCAGGTAGCGCTCCAGGGAGGAACGTGATTTGGCTTGAGCACTGCGGGCGTCTGCGCCTGACTTTTCTTCGTACCGGTTGCAGTTGTACCAGCTCGTGCCATGCTCGGACCAGAGGCCCATACACATCCAGCAGAACTCGTACTTGCATTTGCGGCAAGTCATGTGGTTACAGCCGCCGTTCTTCTCGATCGTCGAGTTACACTTAGTACACTCTTTGGTGTTTGCCGAGATCCAGTTGGCCGTCTCGGAGTCATCTTCACATTTCTGTAGCCACATCTTGACCAGCTTGCACGGAGCGGGCTGGTGGTCGTTGAGGGAACAGCCGAAGCAGAACTCGTGTTTACAGAAACATCGCACGGTTGGGACAATGCGACGGAGATCACGGTTCTTTACCCCACAGTCAATGGCGTATTGGCAGTTTGGTGCTGGGCACCATCTTAGGTTTTCTTTATCGTCGACGTAGGTCCGGGTTAAAAGTTCGCGATACCTGTAGTGAGACACGTTAGCGGATCCTAAAATTTTCAGCTAAAAACAGCCGGCAGAATAAAACACCCACCTTCCTTGAAGCTCCTTTGTCACGAGCAAATCCAGCGACTTGTAGTCCACGATGCGATTACAGCCATCGCCTGGACACTGGATCCGGGCAGCCTCTCCTTCCTCTTTAATTTTCTGCCCCAGGTAGTGTCGATAGCAGTCGACACAATATCGGTGACCACACCGCATGGCATACGTCTCCAGGTCATCACCATCCTCGCAGCAGATGTCACACATGAAGCCGGGGACGCGCTCAGTCTTTGCGGTCCCCTCGAAGTTCGACCCAAGACCAGCCTCCTCCAACGTCTCCTCCGGATGCTCCATATAAGACTCGATCAGTTTTTCTTTGTTCCACCGTCCGAACCGCAACAAGATCGCCACCGACTCAGGCGGGAGCCCGAGGACGGCGCAAACCTCGTTGACCTGGCCAAGCTGTTCACGCTCGATATCTGGAGGATCGAGAACCTTGAACTCGACTTCGTATGGCTTCTTTTTATGCTTGATGAGGTCTTTATCGTCCGAAAATCCGGCGTCGAGGTCATCGAAGTCTGCTCCCCAAGGCACAGCTTGTTAGTCACTCATACTCAAGACACAGCACACACGAAAAGAATAAAACCAAATAAAGCAAATAAATACCAAACGACCACGTACCTTCTCCCAAGCTCTCATCCTCAGAGCCCTGGGTACCCAAGAAATCATCTTGGCTCGAGACGTCACTCATGAAATCATCGTCAGAGTCCATGCTGGCGGTAGTGGGCGTCGCGGAGAGCCTCTTTTTTGGGCCGGAACTGACGGGGCTTTCTCTCTCTGTTGTTTCTGTTGCAGTTGTTGATTCGCTTTTCTGGGAGTGCCGGTCGGACGCCGAGGGTTTCCGGGAGCCGTGGGCGGCGTTTGGCTCGTCCGCAATCGCCTCAGCCGCCTTTCTCTTTCGCGTTATTGGAGGCGTGATGAAGGTAACGGCAAAGATGCCGGGTGGTATAAGTGGTGAGATCCAGACGGTCACTGGGTAAAACCTGTGACGGGCACGGATAGAGGGGAGTGGGGAAGTGTAAGATCTCCCTCCGAAGGCGGCTCGAACCGGTGTTCGAAGGAATTACGAATTGGGTTGAGATATTGAAATCTCTATAATTCTATTGAAATATGAAACTGAAATAGAACACGGACAAAAATGAATTTCATTCCATGGTTGGTCAGCTGATGTATACCCGCAGCCTTTCAGCACATTGACTCAGATATGAATCATTCCACTTGTTGGCTTCTCGTTTGTCTCTGTAGGCTGCCGTGGACGATGTTTTCAAAGGAGATACATAGGTAGTAGGTAGTATAGTATTTCTGGCTCTAATAAGAGCTTAGTATTCTGAAATACATAAATGCGCTCTACAACGTTGTATATCCATGCAGGTATGAAAGTAAGGAAATTCGAAAGGCATTTGGAATTTTAATAAAAGAAAAATAAAAGAAAATGTGGTATCTACTCATCATCACTTTCCTCGGATTCTTCTTCGGATTCTTCCTCACTACTCTCCTCCTCTGCCTCGGCAAGCCAATCAACAAATTGCTGGGTTTGGCTGCGGACAGTCCGCATTTCCTCGGAGTTACTAGAGCGCTCATCATGCCACCACTGGTCGTAAGCCTCCTCCTCAATAAGGTCAAGTTCATATAGAGACTTGGCAGTAAAGAGAAGGACCATATCACCCTTGTTGCGATGAATAAGATCGTTCTGTAGGCAGAGCAGTAGATCAACCTGGTCTTTCTTCTCTTCCTTGTTGCGATCGAATAGAGTCCGCTCAACGACCTCTTTGTATGCCGTGAAAACCTCGCTGACTGCTGGACCGGCACCCTTGCCGCCCTCCATGAGCTGCTGGATGTGCTTCATGAACGATGACACGATGGCGCGACGGACCTGGTTGTCCGAGGCGTTGGCGCTCATACGCAGCGTGACCAGCTCAAGCTGTACCACATCTGCTGCCACGCCCTCACGTAGACTGTCGAACAAGCTGACTGATGCGTCGTGGTGGAAGTTGTCTTCCTCGTCTGCAGAGAAACTTCCTCCCTCAGATCGTGTCCAAGAGGCATCTGAGATCTCGGACGAGAGTGTTGAAATGGAGGCGGTAGAAAGTGAGAGATTGGGCATGCGGTACACTGTAGATAGAATAAAGTTAGCGTCCGGACCAGAAGAGACACATTAGGAAACAACATACGAAGTCCCGATGAGGCTACGCTCACGTCGTCGTCTTCATCTTCCTCTTCCTCGCCGTGAATGAATTCGTAGCCCTCGCCATCGTCGCCAACGACGTTGGGATCGTTCTTGGCCACACCGCCGTCGTTTCGAGTTTTCGTGATGCGCTTCCCTTTCTCCACCCAGATATTATTTGCGATTTTCACGCCATAGGAGAGAAGCGATCCCGCTTCAACAGCACAACTCCTGCCGATAACCACGCCATCAGCAATAATCGCCCCACGGATGTCTGAGTTATCGCCGATCACAACATTGTCCCAAATATAGGAACCATTCAGGTTGACATTTCGGCCAATTTTACAGTTTCGACCGAGCACGGAGTTGTGGACTTCTGACCGGTCTCCGATGCTAGTGCCTTGTCCGATGACTGTGCGGCGCCCAATGACGCAAGAGCGTGCCAGAGTTACCCCTGTTTCTTGGTACATGCTGCCCTTACGAAGGGTGTACGAGTGACCAGGAAGCAAGTTCGTATCCGGGCACAAGGGATATGTCCAGCGCGACAGGATATCCTTGCTAACCGCATCGTACGCCTTCAGGTTGCGCACGCGCGCAGCGTACTGGTCCTTGATGATGTATGTGTGCAGAGTCTTGCCGTTCAGCTCGTAGTCCTTCAAGACACCGTACAAGTAGTGTTTCCGCGGCGATTGGTAATCGAAACTATCCGACCATAAGCTCAGTACGTCCGGAGTGCAGATATCGATGCTGCAGTCGATCAAGTCTTGGCGGATATCCAGCTCGGGGTGTTTAAGGATAATTTCGGCGTCAATATTCAGACGAGACGATTGCTCTTCGTGTGGATGGCGATCGATTTCCTCGTAGTGGAGACAGCGATCCTGGGTAGGGTCAATGACGAAAACCGGCGAAACCGATGTGGACTTGGTCCTGTGCTGCAGGCCAGCCTCCCTTAGAACCATGGTCATGATCGCATTCTTGTCAAGTGCTCGGCGGGCCCGGTGCTGAGCCAATGCGCCCTCGATGGGCAGGTTGCTGATCACGTCGCCGCTCACGACAATGAAGTCGCCAGTAATGACGTGCTTGGCGTCGAGGTCGCGCATAACGTCACCGACGGATGTAGAGGTCGACTTCAGGAAGGTCAATTGCTTGAACGGAGAAGATGGAGCTCTCCATTTTGATGCACTAGCAGTATAGGTCAGCTCTGCCATCTATATCAGAGGGAGTCCCTAGGGCAAGCCTACTTGATGTATTTCTCCAGCTGATCCGAGTGCGCTCCTGCGTAGAGGAAGACCTCCTCCACACCTGCATTGGCCAGGAATTCGAGTGTATATTCGATAATCGGGGTATTCGCGAGTGGCAGAAGGCACTGTAATAATTTGATTCGTTAATTGCGAGGTCTTGGGACTTGAATGTTTCGCCGTAGGGACATACACGAGGCTTATCACGGGTGAAGGGCTCGAATCTCGTCTCGAAGGTATCTGCGAGCACCTAATCAATGCCACAAGTCAGTAAAGATATGTAACAGAGGCAGGACTTTGGCAAGAACAGTCATGCAACCATTTGCCAACTGCTAGACCTACCACAGCTTGGAACGTCTCTTCAACTTCCTCCGCCGTGTTGGGCTTCGGCTTTTGCCCAGCTTTCTGCTTGGGGGCCATTGCTGCAAGGCGTATTAGCAACGAATTCTTTATCGCTCCAGAGAATCGCAAGAGCTAGATCTCGTGAAGAGCAGTGGGAAAGCGGCAGGGCTGTTTTACTTTAAATATGTCAACAACCCGTTCAATCTGAGGTTGGCGAAAGTAAACTGAGATATGCCAGGAGAGGTCCTTAGATACCGTCTCCAGAAATAGCACCAAAGAAACGCGGCGATCTTGTTATCAAAGAAGAGCACAAAAAAGCCTCGGAGTCATCCCGCCCACCTGTTTGCATTGTTTGCACTTTAATCCAAAGGCGTTGCCTGAGGCATATAGTCCTGAATAGGTTTAGTTCAGTCCCTGTAGATCAATAGGAAGAATGAGACAATAGAGTACACCAGTCAAATGAATACACATTAGTCAATAGAACCTTGGAATACACCTGCCCAAGTGGACATAGGCTGATGTACTCATCTCCTACTTCTTAGTTCTTAGTTACTTCATGTGAGACCATCGCGATATAACAAATGCAGAATGAGTTTCATAGAGGTATCAAACAACTGAAGAATAAACCGAAATGAAACGCCAAAACTGGGCCCGAAATATGCTAAGCAAACAAAATTGAATAGGAGGCATAAAAACGAAGTAAGCCCTTATGCAGGACGAGTCTTTATACGGTGAATTGGACCGGGCGAAATCAAACAGGCGGCTCAACCGTCTGCAGCGGAACATAACCCTCATCACCCTGCACAGCCGACTTGGGGCCTTTGCCAGTGACCAGAGACCAAAGCGAAGAGACAACGTTCCCAACACGACGACGTAGAGAGCCCGGGCTGTCCGACAAAATGGCAGTAGAAGCCCACCAGCTCACCTTACGATAATGACCGCGACGCGACACACCGAGAGGAGAGATCTCGCCCGAAGCAAGCTCCTTCTCAAGACGCTCAACCTCCATCCAAGACGGGCGACGCCAGAACTTCAATAGCAGACTGCTAACAACTACAGAGACACTGGAAAGAGCCATGGCAGCACCGGCAGCCATGGGCGGTAGCATGAAACCCGTGAAGGGGAGGAAAATGCCCATGGCAAATGGAAGGCCAATGACATTGTACATGCAAGCCCAAATCAAGTTCAGCTTGATGCGTTTGAAGACCGAGCGCGACAGGGAGAGACTGGCTGGTACGGAGAGTAGGTCATCCGGACGCATGAGGACGATATCGGCAGCCTCAACGGCCACGTCTGTGCCGGATGCGAGGGCGATTCCGACGGATGCCGTGGCCAGCGCGGGAGAGTCGTTGATGCCGTCGCCAACCATGGCGACGCGCTCACCTTCTGCTTGGAGGGCGGAGATGATTGAGCGTTTCTCGGATGGGGAGACGGATGCGTGGATTGTAGAGGTCGGGATGCCGACTGCTGTGGCGATTGATATCGCCGTTGAGAGCGTATCGCCTGTTACCATGGAGGTTGAGATGCCCATGCGATGCAGGGCCGCTACTGCCGCCACAGCAGTCTCTTTCACAGTATCTTGGAGGGAGATGGTTCCAGCGTAGCGGTTTTCGATTGCGACGTGGATGCGTGTAATGCCGGCCGCGGTGGCACCGGGTTTGGGAATGTCAGCTTCTGAGTCTTCGACAGGTGCCGCAGAGTCGGGATCTGCATCAGCAGGTACAGGGACGTCTTTAGACCGAAGGAAGTTGGCGTTGCCAAGGAGGACATGGTGCCGGATACGTTGGCCGCTAGATGTAGGTTCGACGACGGCAGAGACACCCTTGCCAACGTAGTTGTCAACGTCACCCGTGCTCCCTGGTAACCCATCTTCTCCAGGATGACCTGATTCAGATATGGCCGTAGAGAAGATCGCTCGTCCGATTGGGTGTTCACTGCCTGCCTCTGCGAGACCGACAATAAGCCACCAGAGCTGCCGGCGCCAGTCGTTCGTTGTCCATTGAGGTTCAATTCGGGTGTCAGCCACGCGCATTTGACCTGTAGTCAGGGTGCCCGTCTTATCAAAGACAACATGAGTAACTTTTGTGGCAGCTTCTAACACGGCACCTCCCTTAACGAGGATGCCATGCTCCGCGCCAACGCCGGTACCAACCATGACCGCGGTCGGGGTGCTCAGACCTAAAGCACAGGGGCACGCAAAGACAATGACCGAGATGCAGAGCTTCAAGCAAACCATGACTCGGCCACCACTGCCTGCCATTTCAAAGATTGTGGGCGGATGAGGTAGTATATGACTGAGGAACATCCAACCAAAGAATGTGATCAAACCAAGACCGATGATGGTGGGGACAAAGTAACCAGCAACGATATCAGCCATGCGCTGAATCGGAGCACGGCTCGTCTGCGCATCCTGTACCAGCTTCACGATCTGGCTCAACTGGGTATCCTTGCCGACTCGAATGACTTTGAAATCAATGGAGTTTGTGCCGTTCACAGTCCCAGCTATTATCTGACTCCCTTTCTTTTTGAATAGGCAGTGCCTCTCCACTGATCATACTCTCGTCAACATAGCTTTCGCCCTGGATGACCACACCGTCTGCAGACACCTTATCTCCGGGGTGAAGGATAACGACATCACCGACTTGAATCAGCTCGGTGGGAATGCATTTATGATTCACCGCCATATCCTCAGCCAAAGTGGCTTGCGCAGGTGCGCCATTTATAGGTTTGGAGGTCCAGCGCTCAGCCAGTTTCTCGGCCGCAATGGGATCTTCGTAGATAGTCGTCATAGATGGGGCCAGACACATGAGCCTAGAAAGAGCAGCGGAAGTTTGGCCCTTGGCTCGGTTCTCTAGCCATCGCCCCAGAGTGACAAAGGTGATAAGCATCGTACAGGTGTCGAACACGGTGCTAGGACGCTTGTGGTCCATGCCGCAAAGAGCCATGATCATGGTGAAACAGCTGTAAAAGAAGGCAGCGGACGTGCCGAGCATTACGAGGACGTCCATGGTTGGGGATCGATGCTTGAGTGACTTGAAGCTGGTGACATAGAATCGTTTGCCAATGCCGAACTGCACCGGAATGGTAAGAGCGAGACAGATCAGGTCTCCGAGATATAGGCCTGGGATGAGTGCAAAGCTACCAAAGTCAATTCCAGGCAAATACATCGGAAGAATCATGCTGATGAGGAAGACGGGAACCGCAAAAGAGGCGGCGATGATGAAGGCTCTTTTCCATTCTTGGATCTCCTTCGTTTTGGACAATGACTGTATCTGTGCGTTGGTATCGTCTGAGTCGACAATCAAGGCGTTGTAACCAGCAGCCTCGATCACTTCCACAATAGACCGGATTCCGATTGTAGATGGATCGAAAGTAATGGCTATACGGGAAGTAGCCATTTTTATTGACGCTGATTGGACACCCGGTTGCTGTAATAAATTGTCTTCCAATGCTGTGGCAGAAACGCCGTCCCGCAGCCCATGCAAGCTCAAATTGATCTGCTGCGTCTTTTTGGAAATTGACGCCTGCGCCTCTGATGACACGATCGACGCATCAAACCCAGCATCTTCAACGAGGTCTGGAATTTTGCTGGCAGGGAGTATGGTTGGGTCGTGCACAACGACTGCCCGCTCAGCCAGAAGACTGATGTTGAACTGGATTACCCCAGCGACACTGCCCAAGGCACCCTGGACGCTAGACGTGCAAGCGCCGCATGTCATGCCTCCGATTGCGACCGTCGTGACTAGAAGTCCAGATTCCTTTTCTGTGTCAGCCGACGCAGATGGCTCCTTGGAGCCCACTAGGGAAGTGTCCAGCACTCGCGCTCCAAAGCCTCGATCTTCAATGAGCTCTGCGATCTGTTCCGGTGTGATGATGCCTGCATCATGTTCCACGACTGCGCGCTCGGAAAGTAGTGATACGTCTACCGAGTTCACACCGCTGACGCCGTTCAACCCGCTTTCCACCGCAGACGTACATGCCCCGCATGTCATACCCTCAACCGCCAGGTTGGTTACCGAGAGTTGCGTAGCCGAAAAGGAAGAAGAATCGGGGTTGTTTTGTTCCTCGGTCGAAAGTACTGCCGCATCGAAGCCACAATCCTCAATCATCTCTGCGATTTTCGTAGGCGCTAACACTGACGGATCATGTTGTACAGCGGCCCTGCCCATGATGAGACTGACGGAAACATCGCGCGCACCGTCTATCCCTTGAAATGCCCTCTCTACTGCTGAGGTGCATGCTCCGCAAGTCATTCCATCGATCTTGATAGTTGTGATGGCCAGTGCGGGTCGACTGGCCCCGCTGGCGTGGGGATTTTTGGATAACATCTCGACGGTGAAGCGCGAAGCGAACACGGCGAGAAATGACGGGATTATAGCATATGGAGTGTGTCTGACAAATTATCTCCGACGCGATGGCAGAAAGTGATAGCGTGCTGAGGGACGGATGGTTCGGATAGCGCAGGGGACTAACAGATCATTCCCTTGTTGGGCAGACAAAGGGAGCTGCAGAAGTCAAAAAGAAATAGTCTGCCCAGGAAGCCACGTCGGTCTGATTTATTGAAAATTAAGCTAAAGGCGCAAGGGAGAGAGAGAAAGAAAGTGGATTCGCACGGGAACAGGCTTCGGTGATGTGACCCGCATCGGCCACGCTATGGAATGTATAAAGTCGATGCAATATAAGCGTGGGCAGCTGATTAGATGGTCGGGTTTTCAATTAGATTAATGATTCACCGAGGGATATTACCTAGGTGGAAAATACATATTCACATGGGGTCTTGGAAGGCCTGAAACAGACTAAGCCATACGAAAACAAGTGGTTGTTTCAAAATGTCTACAGAGATGAACCCAGTTACACTGCATCGGCTTATTGTCGCTTTTTCTATACCTGCATGGGGCTGTACTATTACCACAAGAATTTAATTCCAAGGTATAGTAGATACGATAACAATAAGCAATAGTACAATAAACAGCTAAATAATAAATAAAATAAAATAAAATAAAATCAACGACCTTCCAGAGGTTGGAACCTCGAGGGCTATGGACTTGAATCAGATAAGGTGTCTGTTTGCACTCAATGCAAACAAGCATCACAAGCATCTCCACCTGGACTACATTTGATGCTGCCCGTCTTGGACTCAGCTACTCCATACCTCTCATATTGCAGCCCTCTCCCTTGATTACAATCCAACATCATCACTGAGCCTACCCTTCAACCAACCACAACATCCCAATGGATCAAACCCACACACGAGCCCTGGAGGCTCTCCAACCATTCATCCACCTAGCCCGCTCCAGCAGCGCGAGTACGCCTCGCTTTATCGCCAATCTTATCACAAATGCCACCTCAAACGCGCAAACCTACGTCTTTGCAGAGCTGCTCGAGCTGCCAGCGGTCCAAGCATTACGGTCACCAGATACTCCAGCCGAGTTCAAGGGCTATCTAAAGCTACTAGAGATCTTCGCGTGGGGCACATGGCAAGAATACCAAAGTAAGTTTGCATATATCCAGAGGCTAGGAACCAAAGCAAGCCCAAAATTATCCAGATGAGATCCCCCCTTGAGAACAAAACCCGCAAAGCTACCAAAACAAAAGCTAACCACCAACACCCCGCACCAGCAACCCCAAACCTCCCCGAGCTGAATACCGAACAAACCCTCAAACTCCGCCTCCTCTCACTCCTAACTCTCTCAACAACAATCAAACCCCTCACCTACAGTGCTCTAATGACCGCCCTCAGCACACCGACAAAAGCCGAGCTCGAATCCCTCGTAACAGCAGCCATCTACGCCTCCCTGATAACAGCCCGCCTCTCACCAGCCTCAAACCCACCATCAGTGAATGTGACAGCCGTCGCCCCGCTCCGAGACGTCCAACCCCAGTCCCTCCCTAAAATGATTACCAACTTGAGCGAGTGGGAATCGCGCTGCGGCGAGGTGGTCTCCGATTTGGAGGCGGAGATTGCGCGCGTCAAGAGTGACGCTGCGAAGCGTGCCGCACGCACCCGGGCACACAGTGAGGCGCTCGAGGAGGCCGTTAAGAGGAAGCAAAGCGCCGGGAAGAAGGGTGGTCGGCGTGGTGGTCGGCTTGGCGCTGGCGTCGGGGGTAGTAAGAGGGATGCGGACGATATTGATGAGGATGATGGGTTCTTTGAGACTTATGATGGTGGTGAGCATGGCTCGCGCATGGATATCGATGAGGGGCCTGGTGCTCGTGCGGGAAACAGTCGGCAGCCAAAGAGGGTTTTGGGGCGCAAGTCTTGAAGTGCGGAAGTGTTGATTCACATGACACTATACTCCCATTTGCTCATGGCTTCGTGGCGTAGAGGATCATAGCGGCTCCGACAGGATTTATGATATGAAATGACTTGATTATGGTTTAGTTTCATCTTTTACGGAAGATATCCATCTCATGGATATGGAACCCGTGGACAGGAGCAAATTGCATTCGTAAGGCCCTAATGGCGACGCTCATTAATCGGAAAATAGATACAATACAAAGTTGTCAAAGTCGAGAGGGGTATTGGTGAAAGAGAAAAAATATCACAGCAAAACAACAGACGCAATAAATATGGACATGACAAAGAGGAAGTAGATGTGACCGCTAATAAGCGGGTGGATAAGGCGGGTGGAGGAGACCAAAATCTCTTCTGTATAGCTCTTGAGGACGAAGATGGCCTGCAGATCTAAGACACAGTCTTTTTCAAGAATATGCATCATAGAAGCAAAACCTCGGTATTCGGACACGGGGGAACGCCTTGAACAAGTCAAGTCAATCGAATTGTAGACATGTAAGAATGATCAAATGACCAGACAGCGAACTTTTTAGAGCGATTGTTTTTGGGTGTTTGGATTAGATGGAAACTGGACTCGGCGAAAAGCTCACAGCATGGTACCGGGGACGAAGATGAACAAGATGCTCAGAGCTGCCGCAGTGATAAAAGCGATCAATGCTGTAACAAGGGCGCGCTTGTTCAGCAGCTTTCGAACATAGGGCTCGCGAATTGGGGCCCAATTCATAAAGGTATATTCACTGTAGCCCAGGAACGCCATGACGGGGTCGATCTTGTACTGATAAGAGATGATAAAGTATGCAGCGACAGCAAATGGAAGGATGACCTGGAATTAAATTAGCAGGCTGATTCATCGGTACTTAGAGGGAATCCTCAACATACCCAGCAACGAATGTTCCGGGGCTTATTCCGCAGAACAACGTAGAAGGCACCCCAGAATCCTCCGCCGAAGCTAATCAGAGCAAAGGCAAGGCGCAAGATAATACTCAGGGGAACCATATTTCCCAGGGCCTTTGCTTGCAAGAATCCCGGGAATGCATCACGCTCCATGGCCTGGAACACATAGTCCTTGGCAGGGTCAAAGACTTCGGGGTCGTCTCGGCCGTCATCTTCAACCAGGTTGATAATAGTGGAAACCATCGATTCCGGTAACATAATCTCTCGCTCCGAACCGGGAAGTAAATATGTGTACAAGATCTTCTCAGCGCTGGCGCGAATATCATTGCGGGCCACTGTGTGCCCAGGGGAGGTTGAGTCGTTAACCCGGGAATCCGGGGTGTCACGGCCATCTTCATACGAGGATGTTTGGTGTGCTGATTCCCCGGAAGATCGCAGGCTGTTTCCCCGGGAGGGTGATGTGGTTTGGCCTTCGGAGCGAAGGAATGCAGACAGGCGTTGGTCGGCATCTCTGTCCTTCTCGTTTTCTTGGAATCCGTTTCGTAAGCGAGAAGGGCCGGCCTCCGTCAGTGGAATATCACCTAGGTTCTCCAGATTGTCTAGCATGGCAGAAGATCGTTTGCTATCGGCTCTTTCCATATCGGGGGTCGCGACGAGGACGGAACGACGGAGTTCACGAACATAGTGTCGACACAGTAGCATGTGTTGTGATACATCGAGCCTAGAGACCCCGTTAACCCCCAGATACGAGCATTGATTGTGAGCTTACACTCACCAAAAGTCTAGATAGTCTACGGAACGCTGCTGGTCGCGCATGTAAATGTAGAACGAAAAGAGGTCGACCGGGGCGAGAGTTCGGCGGCTCAGCACCTCAAAGAGTGTCGGGAGGCGATTACGCGACTCCGCATCGACAAAATCATGATGAGACATATCGGCCGTATGCTTCCAGTTGGCAAGACCGAAATTTCAAAGCCAAGGCGGGGGAGCAAAAGGGGGAGAGATTAAGGTCGTGTCAAGAAGCGAACAAGCGATCTCAACACAACCGAAAAAAGTGAGTAAGACGAAGGCGAAGAGAAGCGAATGATCGAAAATCGAGACGAAATGAGAGGGGTTGAAACAAATTGAGCTCCACGCGGTAGACAATGATGGTGTTTGGATAGGGGGAGCCCCTGAGGCCACAACTCGACTAGGTCGGCTCAGCAACAGCAACAGCAACAGCAACAAAGAAAACAAGGAAACTTGAAAAAGACAAGTCCTACAAAGCGAAAGACGTAAGGGTGAAGTTCATGATGCTATTCCAGCCATCAGCATTCTTCTCGAAACACCGCAACAATGATAATCCGAGATTAAGATCCGTCAGGGGGGAAATTAACGTTGAGGTTTGAGGTTATTGCATCACGTCTCATCATACATATAAACACTCTAATCCATAGGTACTACCTTCCATTCATGTTCTTCTATAACCTGCTGTTATGAACTTCCAGGGCCATGCTCTATCCATGGGCATTCAATGTTGTATGCAATGGGCATCAACTCGAACGTCAGCCCCACAATACCAAGCATGGCATCTATAGATGTGATTGGTGTGAAGATGGATCAGCATATCCATCCATGGATTGAGCTCAACGTTGATCTACGATATAGATTACTAGCACTAGCATTAACTCAACGGAAAGAAATTCATAAACTGGCATTCATTCATAGCCAGTGAAAACTGCATGTGGTAATCTATCAACAGGGTATTGCCCATCAAATTTTCAATCCTCAACGCCGTTCCATAAAAACACCCTCGCTGCAGTAAAATGTATGTCCCGGGATCAATGATTATCGGCAAGGTGCTAGATGCCAGAGTTAGCATTTGTCAAAAACACCTTCATTCAAATACTTACCGACCACTCCGGAATGTTCCGGATCTGCTGCCACATGAACTTCTCAAGCTTATTTGCACTCTTGGCATAGGGTGTGGTCTCGTTATTGTAGCGTCGGCAATTGTCGAAGATCAACATGGCATCCTTGATGAAATCCTGTGGGGTCGGGTACAAGTCCTTCTCATGCTTCTCTTCCATGGTCGACAGATCCATAGGCTCCAAGATTACCTCGTAGTAGTCTGGAACCTCATCGCGGTTCACGGGCTGAGTA